AGATGCCACATCAGCAAGTCAAACCCCAATACCATTCACATCCATTAGTTACATAAATTCATAACTACAATCAAACCATTAACATGACAAACGGTTGTCTAGCAAGCATATGTAGTACATAACACCAAACATCCAAACGTATTTCAAAACATTACAATTTCATCCAAACATAATAAGTAAATCATGAAAGAAAGTCAAAGTTATTTTCTAGTCAAGTTCCATTGGCTTTTCACAGTTTTACCTTCCTCATTCTTACCCTCAACCCTTGTAGCTAGTTTTTCTTGATAATTCTTTCAGACTTCTTTCTTTTCTTGATAATTCCCTCCTTGCCTTTGTTGTATGTCATTTCATGTGCACTTGGTTTTGTTCCACTGCTTCCTTTCTCATCTTTACCATTTGTTCTCTTTTTCTTCTTTACCTTGAGTTTTGTTGGCTTTTGAACTTGAGGACATGTTACATTTTTATGTATAAACTTGCACTGCCCAAAAACAACATTTGACTAATAATTAAACAACATATGTTTTAACTGATAACCATTAGCAACAACATAATTACACAACATATGTTTTAACTATTTAGAACTTTTAATACTCATACCTAACACATGTTTCTGCTTTTTCCTTTGTACATTTTCATTAAAACTGGTTACCTTCTCAAGTATTCCTTCATTGTCATCCATCTAAACATATGTATCCTTGTAAGGTGGACTGCCCTAGGTTGGTTGCAACTTGGAGCAGAGCTTGCTCAAAAAACACATCATGTATGGTATTGTTCATAAGAATGTAATCAACATGTTCAATGTCATTGTTAATAGTACCTTGCAATTCATCTAAGCCAATTTCAACAACTCCCTTACCATGCACTTCTTCATTAACATCACCTAAACTAGTTTGCTTGTCTTCAGAACCGCATATTTCGGCTTCCTCACCAAGAACCCATTGATGGACATTGACATTGATACAACCGCAAGTATACCCTATTTCGATGAACTCTCGACAGTCTCCTTCATTATCTATTATCCCCAATCCATCAGGAAACTCAATACCGAGCATGCAATAATATACATTCACACATTTCTCATTCGTAAATCTTTCGATGAACACCACAAATTTGTTCTTCTCCATTCCAGCAAAATCAATATCCTCAAACCTCTACTCTCCTCTATCTAGGTAACTTATCATGGGGTACCTCCTAAAAACCCTAGCAAAATGAAGATCGATCTTCATGACGTATACGACTATTTGATCGATTTTTAGTTGAGTTTCATTAAAAGAAAAGGGAAGATGAAAGCGACATTATAATATGTTATTTAGATTGTAAAGGAAGGGTGAAGTAAGTAAATTATTCAAATGTTAGGTGACATCCGACATAGCAGATGAGATGACATATTTTAATGACTAACATACAACCTAGTGATTAGGAAGGGATTCACCAGGTGACCCCTTCACTTTCTAGATCATGGTTTTTAAAGTCGGTAGAATAAGAATTTATACCATTAGAAAGCCAAAAAAGGACATTTTAAACCAAAACATGTAACTTTGTTGGGTTACAGTGACATTTTACCTTATAAATTTATCTATTTACCTAATCAAAAATTGTAATTTGGGTTAAGGTTAGTTTGAGTCACTTAACTTTTGGATTTATGTTCATTTGGTCAACTTTTGAATTTGTGTTCATTTCTTCACTTAACTTATTTTAAGTTTTAAAAGGTCATCGAACTTGTAAATTTGTATCAATATAGTCATGAAACATTTTTTTGTCACTTAACTTTTGGATTTGTGCTTATTTGGTCACTTTTTGTTTTTAAAAGTTTTTTATAATTCGTTTTTATAACTTTATTTAAAAAGTCTAGTAACTAAATGAGCACAATTTCAAAAGTTAGGTAACTAAATGAGAACAAAGCCAAACGATAAATGACAAAACCAAAAGTTTAATGGCCACTGGATCATAAATTAACAAGTTCGGTGACCTTTTAAAACTTAAAATAAGTTAAGTGATCAAATAAGAATAAAGTCAAAAGTTAAGCAACCAAAATGACCTAAACCCTTGTAAATTCAATCCAAATTTTGATATTGATCCAATATTGTCCTTGAATTTGTATTTTGTTACGTGTGTGTATGTGTGTGTGTGTATATATATATATATACACACACACATACACACACACACACACATATATATATATATATATATATATATATATATATATTCCAATTCTAATCTTTATTCTAATAAAAGAATAGTTTTATTCTCCTTTTGACATGTGTCATCCTATTAGGCCTCCTAATTAATGCATATTTTATTCTTATTTTGTCATATGTTACCTTATTATGTCTCATAATTAATGCATGATATTTGTCAACATATTTATTCTTCAATTCAAATTTCAAATTTCAAATTTCTCATTCTAATTACATTAAGTTAATAATATTAGAATAAAAATTAAAATAAAATTAATACAAATTATAAAATGATATAATTTCACATATTTATTTAAATCAATGATTATAATTTTATATAACCAAAAAATCTCTTAATTAATAATTTATTTAAAATAATTGATTAATAATTTTGAGTTTTTTTCGATAAAAGTTTAATTTATTTTTGTAACTGTGGTTCCCACGGGTTATAAACTAGTTTCTAATAAATAAATAGATTTATTCTCCTATTGAAAAGTGTTATTATATTAGACCTCATCATTAATATTATGCCTCATATCATGCCACTTGTCAATATATTAATTATCTATTTTAAATTTCCCACCTAATTATACTAAACTAGTTTATAACCCGTGAGAACCACGGTTATAAAATTAATTAAACTTTCATATAAAAAGTCCAAATTATTAATTAATTATTTTAAATAAATTATTATTTAAGAGATTTTTTTTAGTTATATAAAATTATAATCGTTGATTTAAATAAATACATGAAGTTATATCATGTTATAATATGTATTAATTTTATTTTATTTTTCAATCTAATATTATTAATTTAATATAATTAGAGTGGGAAAATTTAAAATTTGAAATTTAAATAAAAGAATCAATTATTAGTTTAATGTAATTAGAGTGAAAAAATTTTAAATTTTGAATTTGAAATGAATAATTAATAGGTTGACAAGTGGCATGATAATGAATATATAACATTAATGAGGTGTTCTAATTGTATGACACTTGTCAATAGGAGATTAAAACTATTCTTTTATTAGAATAGGGATTTTAAATTTCAAATTTTAAACATTTTCACTTTAATTATATTTAATTAATAATATTAATTTAAAAAATAAAATAAAATTTACATAGATTATAAAGTGATATAATTTTACGTATTTATTTAAATCAACGATTATAATTTTATATAACTAAAAAAATATCTTTTAAGTAATAACTTATTCAAAATAATTGATTAATAATTTTGATTTTTTTATATGAAAGTTTAATTAATTTTATAACCGTGGTTCTCATAGGTTATAATTGTCTTATTTAAATACTTTTAAATGATTGGATAAAGTTACAATGGTGTTTTGATTATAATAAAAATAAAAATTTTACCTTTGATTTTTGAGATGTTTCATTATTAAGTAGCATCGTTCATCATTATAGTTAAGAGCACAAAATCGTTCAATTACACCATTTGTTTCGGTCAACTAAACCTAGAGCATCTCAGTAGCTATGCACAACCTCCCAACTTTTCCTCATGATGTTGAAATCGTCATATTATATGATCATATGAATCATTAATGGTAGCTTATAAGTCACTAACTGATTATTCACTCACTAATTGTAGTAGTTTATCTTGAATGAATAATAATCGAATGTATAATTCTTTATAGTAATGTGAGTTTACATTTTTATACATTACGATAAGGATTTGCGTGAAGAGTATGAGTTCCTTGCAGTGGGGTCCGCATCCTGCAATCTTTTTTCTTTGTTAATGTCTCCATGTGCATTTGGTTTGGGTTTTAGTGGGAATGTGCAATTCTTTTTTGGTTGCCAACCACAACAACATCGAGTGGTTTTCTCTTCTCTCTCGCTTCTTTTGGTGGTCAAACCCTATGTCATGGCTGTGAATTCTCCTCTCTAACTTTCTACTATTAATTTCTTTCATTTTTGCTTTTGCTTTTTCTGTTTTAAGCTACTTGGTATTACATGTTCCAGATTTCACATAAATTGAGTTTTTGAATTGTAATATATTGTTTTTTTCTTGGTCTTACATGTTCTTGCTTAATGGTGTAACTAGCTTCTCCTAATATGAAGATTTCACATGATTTGTATATCTAACTTGCTATTCCATTGGACAAAAGAAATAGGAAGAAAAAAAATTGTCATATAAATATCAAAAAGAAAACATTCAAGTTTGATAATTGCTTAAAAACAAGATATTATTGTTAACCAAAGCTTTGATGCTTTCTTGAAAAAAATAGCAGTGTTGACTATTTAGGTATTTCTATAAGCAATTGGTGTTATTTATAACTCCAAATAGGGTAAGTTTTCAATAGGAAGAAAGATCACAAAAATAAAAATAAAAATACATGTGATTTTGTTTATTTGAGATTTTTTTACTTCCCTTGGCCATAAAGAAATATTAATTCTAACTTTGTTATGGACTTTAAAGTTGTTAACTTTAAACCTTAAAAAAACATTAAGCATACAACATTAAGTAAATTTGGGCATTAGAACCAAGGGGATCAAAAGTTAATCAGTAGAAAGAATTTTAGGTGAAATCTCCATATTGATAAGGAAAGTGATTCATACACAACAGCTTTTTGTTATACACAACAATTTATGCATTATATAGTTATACGATATAATATTTTAAAGCATCAATTATTGTGCATGGAGAAAAATTATTGTGTATGGATCAACTCCCTATTGATAACCATAGAATTTAGATTAACATACAAGATAGTAACTTTCATATGATAGTATAATTTGGTCTTCGTATTCGTTGAGCAGGCAAACAAACAAACAAAAAAGTCTCCATCTTACATCTAACAATATGAGTAACATTTACTTTTATGTATCAGACATGTCGATTCCATCCCATCCAAAATACAATTTATGACGTTTTAAATTTGGAGAATAATGGATTATAAAATGACATATGAGTAGTATCATATTTTGAAAGTTTATGAAGAGGTAGGGGTGACAGTTGATGACACAACACGACAAAAATACACGACATGAAACGAAATTGAGACGAAATTGAAATTCGAATTCGGGTTCGTGTTAAGTGCAAAAAACACGATGTCGTGTTCGTGCTCAAAATTTTACACGAAATTGACACAATTTTAACTTTTTTTTTCGTGTTTTTCGTGTTATGTATGAATAAATATCAATTAAACACATTAATTGTTATTATATGTTATCTTTGTCGTGTCGTGTCGTGTTTGTCATTTTTTAATCGGTTCGTTTTCGTGTTAGTTAAAAAAAACCCGAGATCGTGTCGTGTTCGTGTTACATAAAACCTTGTTGTGTTGTGTCAGACAAAAACCCTTGTGAAGAAGGTATAAGAGTCATTTGATTTATAAGAGGGCATGAGAGTCATTTGATAATAAATAAGTATCTAAAATGATTATAAAATATTTAAAATTGTTAAATAAATGATTTTGACAAATTTTTGTTATTTTCAAAGCTTTTCAAAATACAAATATGATATTTTAATATTTAGGGGGTGTTTGGATAAATAGTTTTTAGCTTATTAGTTTATTACTTATTTGCTTATTGCGTTGAGAATAAACACTTTTTTAAAATGTGTTTGGATTAGTTTATTGCGGTGAGAATAAACAATAAGCAATGAACATCTTTAAGTGTTTAACAAACAAAACAACTTATATGAGTAAAATAATCAATAAACAATAAGCATTTCTCACATTTATTCCTATCGTAATAAACTGATTTTTAAAAACTTCTATCAAAACATTTAAATTTGTTTATTAAGATGAGATTAAGCGATAAGCAATATATATATATATATATATATATATATATATATATATATATATATATATATATATATATTTTTTTTTTTTTTTTTTTTCTTTATCCAAACACCTTGATAAACCTATAAGTAATACCCTCAAACCTACCTTTTCTTTTTCTCTTTTCCTGATACGATTCACAGAGACGCCTCTTCTCCATCACGATTTCTTCTCCATCTCCCATCTTCTTCTCTCTAGCCACAGCCACCAGCTCCCCAGTCTCCACCACCGCCAACTCTCCATCTCCGACGTCATCGCTTCTCGACTCGGCTCTCCGATCTCCACCGCCGCCGCTCTCCGATCAGGTACTGAATTTCCTTTTTTTTTTTTTTTTTTCTTCTGGCTATCATCTTCCTTGTTTATGTCTATAAATCTTGACATCTCCATGTCTATACTGGTTATTTTGATGGTTTGCAATGCCAAAGATTTCCTTTTCTGATTATCATCTTCTTTATCTATTGCCATCTGCTCACACGAATTTCTGTCAAATGTTTGCAATGTCAAAGATTTCTCGTTAATTTTTAGTTATGAATGATTTTTGTGTCTCAAATGGACCATATGCTAGACGAATCTGCCCCCTGAAATCTGCAATTAATTCTTTTTGTTAATGGTTTACTATTTTCTTGCCAAAATTTTGCAATACCAAAGATTACTCTTGTGTTTATTTTGTTAAATAATCAATTCCAAACACCCTCTAAATTCACGTTGTAGCGTTTTTAACCAGGTGCATGTCAAATCCTACTCGCTTATAGTCATGTTGCTTACTAGGTTCAACATAATAAAGTACACTTCTCAAATTCTTCACCCTTCAATTTCATTAATACCATTTTCGACGCAACCAATTTATCTATTGAACTCAGATGACAAGAAACCTACAGAAAACAATATCAACATCCACGAACTCCATGTCTTGGATAAATTGTCTGTTCTTTTACCCATTCGCCATCGCAATATACATCCAACTGGAAAACCTACGTCAGATCCAACTCAACTCAGCAAAAACCTAGAGATGTTGCTATCACCTGAAGATAAGTTGAGAGGGATTTTCATTCAGAAGTTGAATGGGAAAACTGAAATTAAACGAGCTTTATCAGCAGCTTCTGTTGATATTGAAGTGACTTTTGATTTAGTTGCTAATGTAGTGAATAGAGGGAGTTTAGATGGGGGATCTATGGTTACGTTTTTCAAGTGGGCTATTGAAAAGGGGAAAGTATTTGAGGATGTTGATAGTTATAATATAGTTCTTAAAGGGTTAGGAAGAAGGAAGTTCTTTACTTATATGATCAATTTGTTAGGTGAAATGAGGGAGAAAGGTGTGAACCCTAATCATGAAACATTGTTTATTTTTATGGATAGTTATGTTAAGGCGAAACAAGTTTCAAAAGCTTTACATATGTTTAAGAAATTAGAAGAATTTGGGATGGAGTATGATTTGGAGTCTTTGAAAGTCATGCTAAGATGCCTTTGTAATCGGTGTCATGTAGCCACTGCAAGTTCTTTGTTGTATAAAATGAAAGAAAAGGTGCGGCTTGATTGTGAGACGTATAATATACTACTATGTGGGTTGTCCAAATTTGGAAAGATCAATGAAATTGAAAGGGTTTTGAAGGAAATGGTGGAAGATGGATATGATCCTGATAGCTTGACTTTTAGCTACCTTCTCGAGGGCTTAGGGAGAGCCGGTCGAATCAATGATGTCATTGATATCTTTCTGAAATTGAAAGAGAAGAGAACATGTGTGTTGAATGTCAATCTTTTCAACGCAATGATCTTCAATTTCATATCGATTGGAGATATCGATGAATCTTTGAAATACTACAATCTTATGTTGAGTAATAATTGTGAACCAAATATGGACACTTATATCTCAATAATCTCTGCTTTTCTTAAAGCTCGAAGGGTGGCCGATGCTATTGAAATGTTTGATGAAATGATAGGACGAGGGATCATACCGACCACTGGGACTATAACCTTGTTTATCGAGTTTCTTTGTAGTTACGGCCCACCACATGCTGCTATGATGATTTATAAGAAAGCGAGAGATGTAGGGTGTGTGGTATCATTAAGTGCTTACAAGATTCTCCTTATGAGACTTTCAAGATTTGGTAAATGTGGCATGCTTTTAAATGTATGGGATGAGATGGAACAAAGTGGTTATTTTTCTGATGTAGAAGTTTATGAGTACATCATCAATGGGCTTTGCAACAATGGTCAACTTGAAAATGCTGCCATAGTTATGGAGGAGTGTTTGAAGAAAGGTTTTTGTCCTAGTAGGCTTATATGTGCTAAGTTGAGTAACAAACTACTTGCTTCAAACAAAGTAGAAATGGCTTATAAACTATCTCTAAAGATCAAAAAAGGTCGCCATGATGAAAATGCACAAAAATATTGGAGAGCTAAAGGGTGGCATTTTTGAGCCTTCACTAAACAATTGTTTCATCGTGGTGGCGAATGTAAATGACAAGGTTTAACATAATTGCTCTAAGATGAGGCTTTTGTAAATGACAATTGTTATTTTGTATGACTTTAAATCTCCAAACATACAACAAAGAACTTGTAAAGACTCCAAATCATATTCCATATTTTTCAAAAGTATACAATATAAGACCGCATGACCGATACAAAGGCATCGCAACATTACTTTCAAAAACTCCAAATCATATTCCATCCCAAATTTTACCAATTTCTTAAACATATGTAAAGCTTTCGAAACTCGCATGACCTTAACATAACTATCCATGAAAATAAACAATGTTTCATTATTATGGTTCAGACCTTTCTCTTTCGCTTCATCTAACAAATTGATCAGATAGTCAAATAATTTCCTTCTTTCTAACACTTTAAGAACTATATTATAGCTATCAACATCCCCAAATACATTCATTTGTTCTTGTTTGTGTGCGTATGAATGAACGTGTTTGTATGAGTGACTATGTGTAGCAACTATTTTAACTTGATTGAAGTAGGATACTATATTTGACAAAAAAATGAAAGGTCATTGTTATTTTTTTGCATTTATTACACGATTGTACTTTTTTACTTTCTTGCTCAAAGTACTATTAAGAAAATTTATAAAAATACAATGCTATAATTGGGTGCAATTACAACAAATTACCAAAAAAGGAAAGTGTTCATTTGAATCTACCACACACACACCTTGCAAACATATAAAAAAGTTACATAAAAATATCATATTTTCATTCATTTAAATATGGTTAAATGTAAGAAATACCATCCGTCTTTCATTCATTTTAAAGTGCAATGCCATACACACATCAATGAACCATTATTATAAAAATTTAACGCCTAAATGGATCATTATTATAGCATTTTAGTGAAAATTACATAAAAATATCTGTTAAGTTATCAAAATAACAACTTACGTTAATCTTTCGACCATTATTATTATAACAATTATAAAAAAAAATAATGGTTTTGTGAAATCATACTTACTTTACCAGACCCTACCTGTCCGGCTGTCCCCTCAATATAATAAAGAAATTAAACTGAAAGTCAATAAAAAACTTGCATAAAAATTATAAAAAAAGAAAAACAATGGTTAATCAATTTACTGAATTTTTTACCAACCGTAAAATAAAATACCAGGTGCTCTAGTGAGTCAAAACTACCAAAAAACTGTTAACAACCTCAAAAAAAGGGTTCAAGTTATTATTTCCATCAAATAAGTTTATTTAAACCAATATTTTTTTTTTTTTTTTTAAAACTTAAAAGGTAACACATGAAAGAATGAAGAATTAATAGATAACATGTTGATGTTATAAGAAAATAACCTTGATGAAATCCATTATAAAGAAACTCCACGAAGCCGATTTAACCATAAAATTCATCCCATGTGCACATCTTTAAGTTGATCTTTTGGGTCAAACTAAAAACTTTCAACTCTTAATTCAATGTATTTCATTAAACCCAAGCAATAATCTTGCTACCAATATCAAAAACTTGGAGCAAAAATTATGGTTAAATTTAAGTAATTTTTCAATATGCAACCAAATCCATATGAATTTGAAATTAAAAGTAGCCAATTTGAATTTAAAATTAAAACCATAACGTGTTTATCTGTGACGATATATTCTAGAGCAGCATAACCACCGAATCACAAAAAACAAAGCCGAAGATAGTTAATAACACAAATCCAATCTTCCCTACCTTACCCTCGCCTCAACAAAGTCGATATTGTGATATAAATTAGGATTAGATTGTCCTCATCTTTGTTCAGAAACATAAAAGATCATTAGTATTTCATATTCATTCCCTTTTAATTTTTTTTTATCGAACATTGATCTACTATTAGCAGTTGATTCCCAGATGTATTGACTCTTGATGGAAAAATCCACTAAAAAACACACTGTTAAAAATATAGGTCGAGATTTAGGCCATGTCGTTTTCATGTTTTCTTTTCCATTATGCATGCATTTGCCTAGTTCCCATTTTTTTAAGGAACATTATGTTAGCCATTTCCTTCTTGCACGTTTCCAATTCCTATTAGTTGCAATATTTCCTTTAAATACCTTGTAAGTTGCATTGGATAAAAAGAACATAAAATTGTCTCAAGTATTAGTCTCGTTTAGTTTATCTATCTCTGGTATTTAGTTTCTACAGGGGACTCGTCATCCATTAATTTGGCTCTATCAATTGGTGCTTTCATGTCTCGATGCCTCCAAAAACTGAGTCCGGCTCCACCTTTTACAACCCCATTGCCACCCTCAACGATCAATTGCAAGTTTTAATCCATCTCGCCACCCCCACCAACCACCACCTAGACACCATCACCACTCATCTCTTTGCACAATCTGACACCATAAACACCATTGTCAAACTCCTCGTTACCGCCAACAACAACCGGACACCGCCACCACTGCCACCACTACCACCTAATACTTATCCATTCCCACCAAAAATCTACCTCCCCAACTTTGACAGATCAAACCCGCTTGATTGGGTGTTGCAAGTGGAAAATTACTTTACCTATTATGCTATCCCACCAAGGCAACGACTTGCCCTTTCCGTGTTTTACTTTAAGGGTGATGCCCTTAATTGGTACAAACATATGTCCAACAATAACCTCTTTGGCATAGGCTGGTTTTACATGTGTATATGAAACCCGCTTTGGCCCTTCTACCTACAAGAACCACCAAGCTACACTTTTCAAGCTCAACCAAGTCTCCACAGTTGCTGCCTACCAGTCAGAATTTGAGAAGATCAATAATTGTGTCATTGGTTTATCTCCACAAGCATTAGGTGATTGTTTCTTCTTTGGGCTTCGCCCCAATATTCTATCTGAACTTTCCCTTCACAGTCCCCAAACTCTCCACCAAACTTATAGTCTCATGAAGCTAATCGAAGATAAACTTCATGCTTAAAATCCGTCTTGGGATGATTCTCTTGAGCCTCCCCCAACAAAACCACCGTTATTGTCCACCCCTCCAACACCCCCTCAACACTTCCAATCAAACGTTTAAAACGTTCAAGCCCCACCGAGATGTAGAAACGACAGTCCGAAGGTTTTTGCTACAATTGTCCGGCAAAACACCAACAGTGAAACCCACCCAAATTTATCCTTCTTCAATCTGAAACCGAACCACCATGGACCTTCAACACAGAATACGATCTCAACCTTGAGGACAAGGCCATTTTTAAGGGTGGGAGTATTGATACAAACCCATGAATTGATACACAATCATCGGAGACATATACATTTCCCCCCCACCTTGAGGTTGACGGTTCAAGTCTCGTCGGAGACAAGTCGATTTAGGAGTAGTTTAGGATTATAATGGTGTAACACCCGGTTCCTAGTACGTATTTAAATTCAAGCAATGTTTTAATTTACTCTAGGACTCGGCAAGTTGGAGGCCCAACTCGTCGAGTAGACTCGACCTTATGCGGGAGTTTTAATGATCTACTCGACGAGTCAGGAGACCGACTCGGTGAGTAAGAGCTATCTGGACAAAACCCTAATGTTTAGGGTTTGCACCCTATTTAAACACTTTATCTCATCCCAAACCTGCCTCCATCACCCTCCCAAATCAGAGAAACCCTAGATTGAAACCCTAAACCCTTATTGAGTGTTCTTGAGCATTTTGGTGCTTTTTTTGTGTGTTTGAAGTTGGAGAAGAAGGAAGCTTGGAAGTTCAAGTAGAAGCAAGGAGATCCAGAAGTTTTACTTCATTCTTAGCTCATTCAAGGTAAAAAGTTGGAACCTTGACCATCTATCTCTTAGATTTTGATTTGGGGCTATTTCTACCCCTTTTTATGAGTACACAGAAGCAAAAATCGGATTTTGTGGGTGTACTTGGAGTTGCACTTCGGATCTGGGGCTATTGGGGGTCTTTATGGCATAAAGGTGTCAACTTTGTTGCCATAAACACCTCATGCATCTTGTAGACCTTCTTTTATGAATTTTGGAGCAAAAAACCCCATGCATGGACATCAAGTTCGTAGCTTTACGTATGAAATGAACTCTAGGAAGTCAGATCTATGATTTTGATGCATTAAGACCCATTATAATTGACTGTATAGTTTTGGACTAGGAGGGACTCGACGAGTTGCTTGGGTGACTCGGCGAGTCGGGATGCATTTTTTCCCCGAACGTCTTCTGGAAATGGTTTTGGTTGAGTGGAACACTCGGCTTGCTAGGGGGTTTGTTTTGGACCTGGAAATCATAGGACTCGGCGAGTGGATGAACAGACTCGACGAGTTCAAGGAAATGTCCCAACCACTTGAAGATGGACTCAACGAGTTCTAGGAGAACTCGGCGAGTCGTAGACTGAACATCTTCATATGGATGAAGATGAACTCGACGAGTTCAAGGATGAACTCGGCGAGTTCAAGGATGAACTCGGCGAGTCGGTTGAAGATAGTCAGATGTGTTGTTGAAGGCGAACTCGTCGAGATCTTGCTAGACTCGACAAGTAAGGATGGGATTATGGCAGTAGGTGAACATGGGGACTCTGCGAGTTGGCGGACCAACTCGGCGAGTCGAGTCAACCAGATGTTGACTTTGACCAGAGGATTGACCATTGATTAAGGTGTTAACCTTAACCTTGTCTTGGACTTGAGTTGGCCCCTGTAAGGATTGCGAGTATAAATTGATAAGTTAGAAAAGTTGTTGTGTAGGGATTGAGGATTCGAGGAGAGTTGGTTTTCATATAGAGATCGGTGCAGACACTACATGTTACACCCCAAAACCATAGAACGACAGAAACGTTCTAGGGCGGAGGACGTCATGTACAGTATCACAACAATGAATAGTAGTAAACAAGAAACAACATCATCCATTGCATTAATAATATAATTTTAATACAAGTGTGTTCTGACATGTTTAATAGACACTAAAGTATAAATCAAAGTGAAAGATGAGTCTTGAACGAGCTCCATCTTCTCTAAACCTTGCATCGGTACCTGTCTACTGTTGACCTCAGGATACAAGTTATTTTGAAAGAGAGTATCAACTTTAAAGCTGGTGAGATCATAAGTATTTTAGTGTTTGAATTTGTAAGAAAGTATTTTTAAGTATGTGAAGTGTAAGTATGTAAAAGTTTTGAACCTCCTAGAAAACCATATGTTTCCTACTAAAAGTAGCCTTCTACTAAGGCATCTAGTATTTGCGTGTGTCTCTTGTAAGAGTGTGTATTTTCCCAAATCCGACTATTGTTAACCAAAAACATGGCTTTTACATTACCGTGCACCGTGTGAATGTTCACGAAGTGAATGTAATGGGAAAAATATTATAGTATTGTAGTATTGTAATAAGTAAGTACTGTTGTACTAACTACCTTAAACCAATTGTAATTTAAAGTAACATGTGATCGGCCTGTATCCTGCTACCGACTCTAGTAAAACGACGATGTAAGGCGCCGTAAGAAATGACATTTGGCACCCGTAGACTTGCAAGTCCCATTGTAGCGAGCAACAAGGTGTAGGATAGTCAATCCAGTATAGTTCTATATG